TGGAAACGTGGGTTGAGAGCGTCTCGAGTGACACCTGCACGCTGACCTTTGTCGAAGACAGCTCCTGCACAAGGGGAACGAAGCACAGGTGGTGAGGTTGAGAGGCGTGAGGAGGTGGTGCTCAGTGTGCAGGCTGTTACAATGGTGCAAAATCCCGCAGGTCAGGGTCAGGTGTGCATGTGCATGTTTGTTTGTGTCTCCAGTTTGTCGCAGGACATGCTCAGCTTGCGCCTCCAAAAAGGAGCGGTGGAAGGCAGGCACGCAGATAGATGCATACGATGTTGGGCAACAAACCTCAGTGTTGGCAAGGGCTGCGCTGACGGCGGAGCGGAGGGAAGTGGTCTTCTCCCCGTTTGCCGAGATGGCTCGAACAGCGAGGTCGTGTGTGTCATCGAGATGGAAGATGAGGCTACCATCCACCACGTCCAAGGATGGCTCCCGGACGCAGCCTGTTTTGCCGTCACCCTGAAAGTTGACAGGGCACGGACCGCACTCGAAGGAGCCCATTGTGTTGGTGCACACGGTGCGGGGGTCGCACACAGGCGGTGTGATTTCTCCCGTCACACTGAGCACGCACTCGTTGACGTCTGATAGCCAAGCAGTGTGGATGAAAGTTTGTTTTGAGTCAAGGCGTGTGATTGAGAGCGCTGTTGAGCTGTTGAGCTGCTGAACGACTCACAGTACACAGGAGTCGATGCTTGGATGTGCCAAGGAGGAGGCCTTGGGAGACATGGCTCAACACCCCCCCCCACACACACACACACAAACACAACATAGCGCGCGCGCACAAACACAACATAGCGCGCGCACACACACACACACACAACCACCACTACACCACACACAGTAAAACGCGACCATGCACTGAGGATTCACCTTGACAGGCGTCGTTGACGAGGTGAAAGCCTGGGTCACAAGGGTTCGTGTCATTGCCATTTCCGTCATCAATGCCACTGGCATGCGCAGGAGCAGTGCCAGCAGCGACAACAGCAACGACAGCCAGCACAGCAACGGTGTGAGGGCCACCGAGGGCGTGGAGGAGCATCGTGAAACACAACAAAGAAGAGCTGTCTTTGTTTTGTTGTTGTTTGTTTTGTTTTTGTGTTGTTTTGGCTTGAAAATTAATTAATGTAATAAAATCATTGAAAAGTTTCCACATACAGGTAGCAATATGCTTCATGTTGGGTTTGTTGATTCGTCGTTTATTATGTGGTGCTGAACTAATGCGTCTCTCTCTCGCTCACCCACACCCACCCACCCACCCACCCACCCACACACACACACCCACACGCACGCACACACACACACACACACACACACACACAATCTCTCTCTCTCTCTCCCCCCACATCTATCTTTGATAGCACGCATGTGCGCTTGCATGGACGTGTGCGTTTGCATGAGTCAGGAGAGACGCTTGCAGCGCGTCTGGAGCTCCTGGAACGATGGGCGCTCCGCTGGCGACTGGGCCATGCACGCCTGCGCAATGTCAACAAAGGAGTCGGGCACATGCATCTCTGCCAAACCAATCGGACAGCATTGGGTGGTAGCCAAATGAGAGCAACGCGAACACGCCTTCATCACAGACAGGAAAGCAAGCAAGCCAACTAACAAGCAACCAAACAAACAACTAACAAGCAAGCAAGCAAACAAACAACGCGAGCAAGCAACCACAGCCGCGCAGACTCACGAACACATCAACCAACCAGCTAAAACAACCAAACAACCGCACGAACAAACACACCTCTGTCCGTGGGGAAGCGAAGGCGAGCGCCATCGTTGAGGAGCTGAAGCAGCGTGGAGAGCGTTGGTCCACGGTATCCCTCGCCCTTCTCCTGCCGGATGAGATCGGGCACCTGCTGCGTCGCCAGCTCCCACATGAGAACACCAAAGCTGAACACGTCCGCGCGCTGGTCGTACTGGCCACCAGCCAGCGCCTCGGGCGCCATGTACAGCGGCGTGCCAACGCCTGTTGTGAGCGACAACGACGCCTCGTCTCCTTCGTTCTCACCGTCACGCCTGGTGTCATCGCGCGCTTGCGGCTTCGCCTCTCTGCCGCCGGAGAAGTGTGTGCGGATCGTGCCAAAGTCCGTAATCTTGGCACGCAACCGGTCCGACACCAGCACATTTCCGCTCTTCAAATCCCTGCATGTGCATGGCGCCGAAACGTGGTGGTGGCGATGACGAGGGTGAAGGTGGTGATGATGATGGTTATGATGAGATGGTGATGATGGTTATGATGAGGCGGGATAACAACAGAGCACAGACACACTACTGCATTGCCTTTGATTCCTACATCCACGCGTTCTCGCGCACAGACACACACAGGTACCCACACACACAGACACACAGGTACACAGACACAGACACACACACCACACAGACACACACACACACACACCACACAGACACACGCGCGCGCGCGCGCGGGCGGAGGCCGGGGGTGAACTCCACCCAACAATAACCCCTCCCGGCTGTGCAATCTGACCTGTGCAATTGACCCAGGGAATGAATAAACGCCATGCCGCTCGCCACATCGCCGGCAAGGCGGCACTTGAGCTGGTACACCGACAGCGCACAGCGCTCACCGCAGTCATCGGCAACACTGCCAGCTTGGTGAGCGCCACCACGCTCACCACGCTCACCACTCTCACCAAGCTCATCGCTTGTACTGCGTCCACCATCGCTCGGCACACAGTCCTCCCCACAGGAGGCGATGACGGAGGCCAGGTCCTGCTGCAGGAGCGTGCGCAGGGAGCCCACGGAGACATACTCCAGCACCAGGAACGGGCTGCCGTTGGGGTCTGTGCCTGCGCCGAAGAAGCGAACCACGTGCGGGTGGCGGGTGCGTTGCAGAAAGTCCACCTCCTTCTCAAACTCGGCGATGGTTGCCTCATCAAACGCCATCACAGCCTGCTTCAGCACCTTCACCGCCACCTCCACGCCGTCCCACTTGGCGCGCCACACATCCCCATACGCACCGCTGGCAACGCACGCCTGCAGCCTGAGCTCCTCATACTCAATGGCCCACCCGGCCTTGAGCGCCATCACCTCTGCCTCCCGCTCCGAGAGCAGCTGCACGTGCAGCTCGTGCTCCTCACGCAGGCGGCGGTGGCGGCGGCACCAGCGGTACACAAGCAGCGCCAGCACCTGCAGCACCAGCAGTGCGCCCACAGACCCGGCCACCACGGCGGCAATGGGGGGCTTGACGGCACGGCAGCGGCCTCCCTCAAGTTCGTAGCCGCCGGCGCAGGAGCAGATGAAGAGGTAGGCCAGCTGGGACGACAGCAGCTCGTGCGGGTCTGAGGCGACGCGGGCGCGGATCGTGCGCAGGTCCAGGCCGCACGTGACGGGCGTGTGCTGCATGGTGAGCAGCGGTGTGGTGGACCGGAACGCCAGCTGCGTAAAGTCCTCGGCAACAAGCGGGCGGTCATCCAGGACGGTGAGGCGCGAGGCCTCGGCAGCAATTGCAGACGGGTTGTTGAGAAACGGGTTGTCGCTGAGATCGAGCACATCCGCCGTCTCCAGGCACTGGCGCAGCACCTCCCGCTGCTCAGACTCCTCGGAGAAGAAGCGCGGGTTGAGGAGGTTGCGCGCAAACAGGATGCTGGAGCCCCACTCGCTGCACAGCGCAGGGGTGGATGGCAGCGACGTGCCGCTCATGTCCAGCACGTCCGCACGCGGAAGCACGAGCTCCGACAGGTGGGGGCACCCTGTGAGGTTGAGCTGCCGCACCGCCGTGTGCACGGTGAGCTTGCGCAGGTGCGGGTTGCGGGGGATGGCGACGGCAACCAGGTCATGGCCCGGGCACAGGTCGATCTGCGTGTAGGCGGTGTTGGTGAGCGTGATCTCCTGCACCACGCGATCAAGCGCACGGCACACGGTGGAGGCGAGCGGGGCCGTTGTCTCGTCCATGCCGGGCCAGCCCACGTGCAGGCTGGCGAGCGTGAGCTGCTGCTGCGCAAAGAGCGAGTGCAGCACCTCCTCCTGCACAGCGATGCCACGCACGTCCAGCGTGTCGAGCAGGGACGCGTTGACGCGCATGTCACCGGGCGAGGGTGCGGATGGGGACGCAGAGAAGATGAGGCGCGCGTGGTCGGCGATGGCCTCGCTGGCGGCAATCTCCAGCACGTGCAGGTGCTTCAAGGCCGGCAGCAAGGTGGCGATGTCAATGGTGGTGATGTGGTGGTTGTTGATGCGCAGGGCCTGCAGCCTGGGCAAGGCGTGGAGGTGTGGCAGGCGCCGCAGCGGGTTGTTGCCGATGCGAAGGGACACGAGCTTGGACAGGGCGGCGTCAAAGGTGGTGAGGTGGTTGCCACGCATGGAGAGCGCCTGCAGCTGTGTTGTCGCGTTGAAGACTGACGAAGGGATTGTGGAGATGCGGTTGTGGCTCAGCTCCAGTACACGCAGCTGCGAGAGTGCGGCAAACAGGGCTCGCGGCAGCTGCGTGATCTGGTTGCGGTGCAGGTAGAGCTCGCGCAGCGCCGTGAGGGCGGCGAAGGTGTCCTGGTGCACGTTGGTGATGGCGTTGGACTTGAGGCTGAGGAAGGTCAGCGTGGATGCGCCAGCAAGCAGCCGCGACGACACATGTTGGATGGTGTTTGAGGACAGGTCGAGGTGGGTCAGGTTGGTGAGGTGGGAGAACGCAGTCTCTGGCAGCGAGGATAAGCGCGCGTTGGTGAGCAGCAGCGTGTTGAGGAGGGTGGTTGCTTGCAGTGTATCTGCGTCCATGGCTGTGAGGCCGGTGTTGCTGAGGTCCAGGTGCCTGAGGCGGGTGAGCGGGCGGAGCGTCTGTGCATGGAGGGTGTCAAATGGGTTTCCGCTCAAGTCGAGTGTGCGCAGGCGCGACAGGGGAGAAAAGGCGGCCGGGTCCATGCTGCTGATGTCGTTGTGCATGAGGGAGAGGACGGTCAGGAATGGTGTGTTGGCAAACTGCTCGGCGGCGAGGGAGCGAATGCGGTTTCTGTCCAGCACGAGCGTGCGCACGGCGCGTGCGTGGCCCGTGATGCCTTGCACGGGGATGTGCGTGATCTGGTTGCCATCGAGGAGCAGCCGGGACAGGGATGACATGCCAGTAAATGCTTCTGTGTCCACGGTGGTCAGTGCGTTATTGCCGACGTCAACAACCGTGATGGCTGCTGCGTGAGCAAACTGCTCTGCTGCGCCTTTGGTGTTGTTGTCAGTTATCTGGCTGCTGCTGCTGCTGCTGCTGGTGGTGGTGGTGGTGCTGGCGCTTGTGAGGAGTGTAATGTGGTTGCCACGAACGCTGATCTGCGTGATGTTGGGCAGCGGGTTGAGGGTGGCAAATGAGAAGGTCGATGACACGAGGCCACGAAGGGTGATGTTGCGCACGGAGCCCCAAGCAACACCTGGGGTCGTGAGAACCCAGTGCAGGTCGGCGTCGAACACGCGGCCTGTGAATTCAGCAATCTCTGGACGGGCGAGGTGCAAGACGTCAGCGAGGTGTTGTTGTGCATCGCCTGGCAGCGTAGAAGCCGTGAGCGGCTGCACTGCCGCGTCGAAGCGAAGTTGCAGCTTGATGCGGTTGCCTGCTTGCCTGGCTTGCTCTGCTTCGGCAGCGTCCGTGCAGTTGCGTTGAATCACCTCAGACAGGACGCAAAGCACGACTGTGATGTCGCTCTCCTCGTTAATGTTGCCGACATTGTTCTCTTCTGCTTCGCGTCTCCTCCTGCGATCCAGTAGTTGCTGCTGCTGCTGCTGCTGCTGCTGTTGTTGTTGTTGTTGTTGTTGTTGTTGTTGTTGTTTCAGTTGTTGTTGTTGTTGCTGCTGCTGCTGCTGCTGTTGTTGTTGTTGTTGTTGTTGTTGTTGTTGTTGTTGTTGTTGTTGTTGTTGTTGTTGTTGTTGTTGTTGTTGTTGGGACGCACGGGGTGCTTCCGGCGTTGTTGTTGGTGTTGGTGGTGATAGCAGAAACGGTCGGCTTGTTCCTGTGGTTGGACGATTGACGGCATGCTGGCAGTAAAACTCTGCGGCAGTGCGCAGGGCGGCCACGTCGACCAGCGGTGGAAAGTGTTCTGACGCTGCTTCCATGGCCTGAATCGCTTGGCGGGCGCGGTCGCAGGTGGTTGTGCCAGGTGTGACGGTCGTCGCCCCGCTCAGCTGCGCAGTCATCACCACTACCACGCACCACAAGAGCACCAGCATCATCATTGTGCGTGTGTGTGTGTGTGTGTGTGTGTGTGTGTGTGTGTGTGTGTGTGTGTGTGTGTGTGTGTGTGTGTGTGTGTGTGTGTGTGTGTGTGTGTGTGTGTGTGTGTGTGTGTGTGTGTGTGTGTGTGTGTGTGTGTGTGTGTGTCTTCCTCAACTCTCTTCACATCATGTCGCACTCCTTCCTCCACTCCCACACGCAAAGCTGGCGTCAATGTCGACTGAAATCAGTGTTTGCCCACGTTGCGCAAGCCGTGCTCTTTGTGTTCTCTCCACTGTTTTGTGTGGCGCGGTGGTGCTCCAACCAATCTCTCCATCCATCCTCCCATGCCATCCAATCCATTCACAGTTTCATCTTGATTGAGGCGACGGCACTCAGCAGCACCCTGGTTGTGCGTTTTGCCGAGGGCTCTTGACATACCTCACACATACACCACACACCACACACACCACACATACACCACACACACATACACACATACACACACATACACACACCCGCGAGACAATGAGGCGAAACGCCAGTGTTGTGGCTGTTGTGGCTGTCATGGCTGTTTTGGCTGTTTTGGCTGTTTTTGCGACGAGCGCCGTGGCTAGCTTGGCTCAGAGTCAGCAACAAGAACAGCAACAGCAGCAGACATGCCCACACCCGTGCAACTTGCAGACGCACTACATGCCACGGCCATGCGAATGCAGGCCGCTGACCACGTGCAAGGGCGCAAAGGTGGAGATCATGCCACCCACGGCCACGAGCGATCGCAAGTGTGGCCTGGCCGCTGAAATCGACTGCGCCATAGACGGTGACTGGCTGCTGCCAGATGCGCGACAGCTGTTCACAACCCGCAACAGCACCGGCCCTGCGTCGAAGGATGGCATCCGCACATACACCTCGCTCGATGGCCGCTTTGTTCTCATCATGCTGCGCCCAACGGAGCTGTACTCCTGGATGGAGGACATCCTGAGCTCCGTCACCGACCTCGTGCCGGCATGGTACCTGCTTGAGCCCGCAGCAAAGCGCATCCACGCCGGATGGCCTGCCGCCGCATCCGCGGACGGCCCGATCGTGGCCAAGACGCCGGCGCAGATGCCGCACGGGCCCGCCACCGTCCTGTTTTACGAGGACGACCTGTCCAGCGACGACGACTACTACTTTGACAGCGAGGAAGACACGGACCGTGAGGCCAACAATGCAGGCGCGCCCTTGCAGGAGGCTCCGCGCCACCGCCGTGACATGGACACGGTTTCAAACTCCACAGCGCCCACGCCGAAGACAGCGCACAACAACACCACCAGCACCGTCGCTCCCGTCTCCACCACCGCGGCCAACAGCAGCACCGTCCACCACAATAGCACCATGCCTGCCCCAATCACGACGGCCGCAAACGTCACCACGACCGCCAATGCAACCACCACAACCACCACAACCACCACCACAACCACCCATGCACCCACCAACTCCAGCAGTACCACGACGACAACAACGACAGCCACGACGACAACAAAGACAAAACCAACCACGAGCGCTGCCCCATCATCCTCATCCTCCTCATCGTCAAGCAGCAGTTCCACGTCGAGTAGCTCGAGCACGTCCACGCTCAGCAGCACGACGTGGACGTGGACACAGGCCGGCGGCACTGTTGCCGACGCGGCACTGGACCCCTCCACGCGTGCCACGTGCGTGGCCGCCTGTCGTGAGACAGACCCGTGCTGCTTCCTCTCCCGCAACGCGGACGGCATGCGTTGGCTCGCTGCCCCGCTGGAAGACGTGCGCTCGTGCCTTGCATCCGTCACCATTGATGGCGTGCGCATGCGATCCACCCTCGAGACCCTGCGCAATGGCGCAGCAGGTGTGTGATTGTGTGTGTGTGTGTGTGATTGCGTGCGCGTGTTGCTCTGTGTGCGTGTGTTGCTGTATGCGTGTGTGTGTGTGTGTGTGATTGCGTGCGCGTGTTGCTCTGTGTGCGTGTTTTGCTGTGTGTTGCTGTGTACTTGTTTTCAAACGCGCACAGCGATTCTGATGTTGAAGTCGATGTCAGTACTAGTTGTTGTTTCTGGCCAACTCACCATTTCTCCCTACACATTTCACACACTTCACACTTCACGCTCACATACACCCGCACACCCACACACCTTCACACTCATACTGATCACCCTGCTGCAGAGTACTATTCGTTTGCGGACATTGCGTCCGACAGCACGGCTGGGTCGGATTCGCTTGGCGAGAGCCTGGAGAACTGTGGCTTTGACGTGCACGAGATGCAAGTGGACATTGTTGGGCGCCTGGATGAGAAGCTGAAGGAGCTGGACAGCCAGGCCGATGTGGACGGAAACGCCCGCGTGACAAAGGCCGAGCTGCTGGGCGTGCGCGACAACGCAGCCGACTTCCACTTTGAGGTTGCGAACGAGTTCACGCGGCTGTACGATGCGCACACCATGTACTACCTCCCAACACCGTTCTACGGGTTCTACGTCGACATGGGCTTCTACATTGCGCTTGACGAGCGGCCCGACCACGCCAGCGGCGTGTGCGCGCGCGTGTGCATCAAAGATGCGGGCGTCTTCAGCAACAACTGCACACTCGCAGACGGTTGTGTCAAGGCCATCAATGACCAGGACCCCTTGCAGTGGCTCGGGGATCTCGCCGGCAATCTTGGGCTGTACAAGAGCCGCAGTGTGCGCATCAACAGCCTGCTGCAGGAGCTTGACAACCAGCTGCTGTGGCAGTACGCGTACGGGGCGCAGTGGGGCCACCGCTGGCTGGACGACGGCGTGCGCTTTGCAATGGAGGGCAAGGACGCGGACACGCTTGTTGCTCAACCACAGGCGCTCGTTCCCGGCCACCTGACCCGCGTGCAGCTGCAGGCGCAGCTTGACCGTGGGTACGATGGCCGGGGTGTGATTGCCACCACGCCCGCCGTGTCCAGGAGCCAGCGCCGGCGCCGCAGCGATGAGGATGGGGATGCACTCGACGCTGCCGTGCAGGCCATCCACGCCGCAGCTCTGCCCTACCCGGACGGTGTTGGTGGTGGTGGTGGTGCTGCTGCTGCTGCCGCCGCCGCTGTTGCTGGCAGCGATGGTGCTGGTGCTGCGTGGGAGGGAGCGCGTGCCAGGGGTAAGGGCCAGCCGTTCAAGCACCGCCGCCACCCGTTCCCAACGCCGTTCACGCCACCGGACGAGGTCACCTACACTCCCGATGACGACAACACGCAGGCCACCAGCCCATTTGATGATGCTGATGACGCGGGGGTAGGTACAGGTGCTGGAAACGGCACTGCCTCCACGCCGTGGGAGGTGATTGCCAACACCACCGTGTCCGGGTTTTTGGAGGGGCGTGTCATCAACGGCTCGGAGGGGCCTGCCATGGTGCTGAAGATCTTCAGCTTTGCGTCAGACTACCTTGACTATTCGGGCCACATTGCCGCATTTGATCGCGTCACCGCCACTATGACTGCCGAGGCGCAGCGCCGCGGCATCAACCGGTGTGTGTGTGTGTGCTTGTGTGCATGCTTGTGTGCATGCTTGTGTGCGTGCTTGTGTGTGCATGCTTGTGTGTGTGTGTTGTGTGTGTGTGTTGTGTGTGTGTGTGTGTGTGTGTGTGTGTGTGTGTGTGTGCGTGTGTGTGTGTGCGTGTGCGTGTGTGGGGTGAAGATGCGTTCTGTTCTTGTGATGTGTCTGTGCAAAACATGGTGCTAACGTTTATGGCGTTTCTGCGTCCGTTGTCATGTCGTTCCTCATTCCCGGCCTGATGCTCACATCCCACCGCCTTCAGCTTGGTCGTCGATGTTTGTGAGTTTGAACCGTTTGCGCGCGTTTGAGAAGGAGTGTGATGGCATACAAGCCTGTCCGTGCATGATCGGTTGTGTGCACATGCGTGAGTGTGCATGCGTGCAATTGCGTGTGCAAGGATTTGTGTGTGTGTTTGACTCACGAATTTGTGTGATGTGCACGTTTGTGTCTCCGTACAGCGACCAATGGCGGCGGCTATGTCGCTCTCTTGTGGTATGCGCTTCAGGTGAGAACACCCAACGCACACTTGCCGCTTACACACACAAACACACACACATACACACAAATACACACACACGTGTGCGCACGCACACATGCAGCGTCGTGCTTCATCTCCCCCCCCCAATCATCATCATCATCATCATCATCATCATGATCATCATCATCATCATCATCATCATCATTTTTGACCTTGTCTTACTTCTCCTACCAACCACAAACCACACCAACCGCTCAGGTTATCCTTGGTCCACGCAACTGGAAGGACTCGGAGGAGTTGTGCGAGGGTGTGAACGTCCGACTGAGCGATACGGCACGCGCCTGGCTGCAGGTTGCGTCACGCGAGCCCAAGGAGCTTATTCCCGAACTGGGCCGCCTGCCCACGTGGGAGGACCTCATCATGCGCGTGAGCGAGACGGCGGATGCGTTCGCCGCCATTGACCCGTCGCTGCTGCCCACCCCGGACACGTCACCGCTGTGCACGGTGTTCGACTGCAGTGCGCTGCAGCTTGCGGGCCGGGTGGACGACACCGTCTCGCGGCGGGAGTTTGCCGAGTTTGTGCGCACGGCGCTCGTGTCCACGGCGTTCCTTGATCGCCAGTACCAGCAGCTCCTCGGCCCATTCCCAGCCCCGTTCTCAGACCTGCGCGCCCGGTGTGTTTGTGTGTGTTTGTGTGTGTTTGTGTGTGTTTGTTTGTTTGTGTTTGTTTGTTTGTTTGTTTGTCTGTTTGTTTGTTTGTGTGTTTGTGTGTTCGTGGGTTTGTGTGTTCGTGGGTTTGTTTGTGGGTTTCTTTGTGCTTTTATGAATGCGTACATTGAAGCCTGAAGCTGCCATTGGTTCGGTTCCTTACCCCTTCCTTGCTCACACGCGTGCATGACATGCACATGTGCCGTTGTGTTTCTTGTTCAGCGTGCTGTTGGCGACAGAGGTGGTGCGGGACTGGGGCGCTCGCGCAAGCAACTACAGTGCCACGCACACGCTCGAGTGCTACCACATCTGCGAGAGCAGCCCATCAGGCAGCGACGATGATGACACAGGCGGCGACTATACTGATGACGACGACATGTATTACGGCGACGACGATGATGGCTCCTCTGTGGACGACTGCCCTGCATCTGTGCTGGCGTTCTCGTCCCAGTTTACAGATGTGTCGCTGCTGACAGACGGCACGTGTGGTAGCGCCTGCTCTGCGTTCAGCACGGCCATGCTCTTCTCTGGAAACGTTACCGTTTTTCCTACGGCGGTGAACCCGGCTCTGGCATGTGAGTGCTGCGTTAGTGCACACATGCATGTAAATTCAAGTGTGTGTGTGTGTGTGTGTGTGTGTGTGTGTGTGTGTGTTCAAGTGTGTGTGCGTGTGTGCATGGGTCCAAGTGTGCGTGTGTGCGTGAGCTCATTTGCGTATGAGCGTGTGTTCACTGTCCGTGTGCATAGTGTTGTTCCAAAGTCGTTCAAGTTGTTTTTTCCGTTTGGTGTCCAACAATCCCTTCTTCCCGACTTTTTTCTTCTCCACCGCATCTCAACCTTTGGTCTCCCATTTATTCTCATCTTCCCACCGCTGGCCTGCAGGGACATCTCGTCGTTCTGTGGCGGCAATGTGGAGGAGTGGGATGGCATCTGGCCCGACCTGTCACGTCAGCTTCGCATCAAGGCGTTCCTGTCCAACTTCAGCGCGTGGCCGGAGCAAGGTCTGGAGCGCGTGGCACCTGCACTGCACCTGCCAACGCCGGCCGGCGCACGCTTCAACTTCCACCAGCTGTTCTACCGGCACCTGGGCGAGAACTCGCTCCCACGGGAGTGGTACAACCTGCCAGCGCACCGCCAGTTCCCCGTGTGGATGGGGGTGCCCGAGTCGCACCCACGTCGCCTGGGCGACCTGTACACGCGCATTGCCTCCACCACGTGGCGCGAGGTGAGGGAGAACCCACAGTTCTACCCGGCCGAGTGCACGCAGCCCTTCCCGCGCGACAGGCAGCCGGTCAATTCGTGGGAGTTCAGCACAACGTGGTCGTCGTCCACCACGTCCACGTCGTGGTGGGTGTCGTCCACGAGCGGGCCCGACGCGGGTGGCTCGAAGAAGGATGCCCGGCTGGTGTACCTTCCCATTATCGCGGCCGTCTGCGGTGCGGTGGTGGCGGTGGTGGCCATGACGCTCCTTCGCCGCGTCCGCTCTCGCCGCACCGTTCCTTACCGCCAGCACTCGAACATCTTTGAGCATGAGTTTGAGAGCGACGGCCCGCTGGACGGCGACTCTGTGGGCCAAACGAGCAGCCGCAGTACGTCCACGGGCACTGGCCGTGCATGCAATGGCGGCGGCGGCCACGACGAC